AGTGATACGGGTCTGTAGTTAAGTGCCTCCTCCCTATCACCTTTCTTGAAAATCGGTACGACATTTGCCTCCTTCCAGCAACTGGGCAATTCTCCCGACATAAGTGACTCATTAAAGATCATTGCCAGAGGCACGCTGAGAGCCTGCGCTGCCTCTTTAAGTATCCACGGTGATACTTTGTCTGGTCCAACAGCTTTACTTGCATCCAGTGTTGTCAACTGTTTCATTACCTCCTCTGCTGTCACCTCTATATCTGATAGTCTTTCATCTAGGGTAATCGCTTCTAACAATGGGAGCTGCTCAGGCTCGGTTGTGAACACTCCATGGAAACTTGCATTCAGTACCTCGCAGATTTCCTTGTCGCTTTCTGTATATGCCCCTTCTGTTTTCCTCAGTCTTGTCACTTGGTCATTTACCGACATCTTCCTTCTTATATGGCTATGTAGTAATTTAGGTTGCTTTTTTCCTTTGATCGCAATATCATTCTCATAATTTCTTTCCGACACTCGTCTTATGTTAATGTAATCATTCCTAGCTCTGTTACATCTAATTCTGTTGTCCTCTGTCCTTTGTCTTCTGTACTTCCTCCACTCCCTCCTGCTTTTCACCTTTGCTTCCTGACACTGTCTATTAAACCATGGGTTATTATATTCCCTCCTGCTTTTTTCCTTTACTGTTGGAATAAATCTCTCTTCAGCCTCCTTGCATTTCCATATGACTTGGTTCATCATACCTTGTGTTTTGTACCCTGTATTATACCCTGTTTTTCCTCTAAGTTCTTCCTCCTACTGCACTTCTCCCAGGTAGTCCCTTATCCTTCTGTAGTCCCCTTTTCTGTAATCAAGTCTTCTTTCCCGGACCTCTTGTCCTTTGGTGTGTGTGTGTGTGTGTGTGTGTGTGTGTGTGTGTGTGTGTGTGTGTGTGTGTGTGTGTGTGTGTGTGTGTGTGTGTGTGTGTGTGTGTGTGTGTGTGTGTGTGTGTTTACTAGTTGTGTTTTTTACGGGGGTGAGCTTTGCTCTTTCGGCCCGCCTCTCAACTCACCTATTTGTTGGAATTTGTGTGTGTGTGTGTGTGTGTATTTTGGTCATGAATTTGTGTACACTTTTGAATGGGAGTACTCACCTATTTGTACTCGCTTAGTTAGGGTTGCGGGGGGTCTGGCTCTTTGGTCCGGCTCTTTAGAATGCCAGACAGAACACAGAGAGTAACAGGCAGTCAAATAAAATCGAGTCCAAGCGCAGTTAAAAGTTTTGTACCTCAAGGTACAAAACCACTCCTTGCACCAAACAGTGGTGCAAGGTCCTTGCACCACTGCTTTTCCTTATTCTCATATCAGATATAGACTAAAATACAAGTCACAGCTTCTTGTCATCCTTTGCAGATGACACCTCTTAACACCGAAAGTTACCTCTGCTGAAGACATTGAAAAACTGCAAGCAGATATTAATAAAGTTTACGATTGGGCAACAGAAAATACCATGATGTTTGACAGTGATAAATTCCAGGTACTCAGGTACAGTAAAAATGAGGATCCGAAACATAATACAGGGTACAAAACACAATCAAATCTGCACATAGTAGGAAAACAGCATGTCAAGGATTTGAGAATAATGATGTCTGACGACCTAACGTTTATTGAGCAAATATTGCATCAGCCAGATAAATTATAGGATGGATTACAAGAACTTTCAAATCCAGGGATCCTATCACAATGGTTGTACTAATCAAATCACTTGCGTTGTCCCGTCTCGAGTACTGCTCAGTACTCACTTCCCCCTTCAGAGCAGGAGAGATTGTTGAAATGACGGGAATACAGAGAACATATACGGCACGCATAGACGCGATAAAGCACCTAAATTATTGGGATCTTTTCAAAGCTCTCCAAATGTACTCACTAGAAAGGAGAAGAGAGAGAGAGATGGATACAAATAGAGGTGCCATAGGCACAATCAGAGAACACTATATAAACATCAGAGGTCCATAGTTGTTCAACATCCTCCCAGCGAGTATAAGAAATATTGTGGCAAGAACCGTTGACATCTTCAACAGAAAACTTGATAGTTTTCTTCAAGGAGTACCAGACCAACCGGGCTGTGGTGGGTATGTGGGCCTGCGGGCCGCTCCAAGAAACAGCCTGCTGGACCAAGTGTTTACAAGTCAAGCCTGGCCATGGGCCGGGCTTGGGGAGTAGAAGAACTCACAGAACCCCATCAAGCAGGTAATGGAGTTCATTCACATGAATGTTTGTACACACACCTGTACACAAATGTACACAAATTTGTGTACATTTGCTACTATATACAACTCTGAACGTACACATGGCAGGTTGATGTGTACACCTCTTGACCGCTGTGAAGACGCCCAGATCAAAATGCACATCTCTGTATCAACATGTACACACCAGGATCAATGTACACATGTCTGTATCAACATGTACACACCAGGATCAATGTACACATGTCTGTATCAACATGTACACACCAGGATCAATGTACATATCTCTGTATCAACATGTACACATCTCCGTATCAACATGTACACACCAGGATCAATATACACATCTCTGTATCAACATGTACACACCAGGATCAATGTACACATCTCTGTATCAACATGTACACACCAGGGTCAATGTACACATCTCTGTATCAATGTACACATCTCTGTATCAATGTACACATCTTTGTATCAACATGTACACACTAGGATCAATGTACACATCTCTGTATCAACATGTACACACCAGGATCAATGTACACATCTCTGTATCAACATGTACACTCCAGGATCTATGGACACATCTCTGTATCAATGTACACATCTCTGTATCAATGTACACATCTTTGTATCAACATGTACACACTAGGATCAATGTACACATCTCTGTATCAACATGTACACACCAGGATCAATGTACACATCTCTGTATCAATATGTACACACCAGGATCAATGTACACATCTCTGTATCAACATGTACACACTAGGATCAATGTACACATCTCTGTATCAACATGTACACACCAGGATCAATGTACACATCTCTGTATCAATGTACACATCTCTATATCAACATGTACACACTAGGATCAATGTACACATCTCTGTATCAATATGTACACACCAGGATCAATGTACACATCTCTGTATCAACATGTACACACCAGGATCAATGTACACATCTCTGTATCAACATGTACACACTAGGATCAATGTACACATCTCTGTATCAATATGTACACACCAGGATCAATGTACACATCTCTGTATCAACATGTACACACTAGGATCAATGTACACATCTCTGTATCAACATGTACACACCGGGATCAATGTACACATCTCTGTATCAACATGTACACACCAGGATCAATGTACACATCTCTGTATCAATATGTACACACCAGGATCAATGTACACATCTCTGTATCAACATGTACACATTAGGATCAATGTACACATCTCTGTATCAACATGTACACACCAGGATCAATGTACACATCTCTGTATCAATGTACACATCTCTGTATCAATATGTACACATTAGGATCAATGTACACATCTCTGTATCAATACGTACACACTAGGATCAATGTACACATTTCTGTATCAACATGTACACACCAGGATCAATGTACACATCTCTGTATCAACATGTACACACTAGGATCAATGTACAATGTACATCTCTGTATCAACATGTACACACCAGGATCAATGTACACATCTCTGTATCAATATGTACACACCAGGATCAATGTACACATCTCTGTATCAACATGTACACACTAGGATCAATGTACACATCTCTGTATCAATATGTACACACCAGGATCAATGTACACATCTCTGTATCAACATGTACACACCAGGATCAATGTACACATCTCTGTATCAACATGTACACACTAGGATCAATGTACACATCTCTGTATCAACATGTACACACCAGGATCAATGTACACATCTCTGTATCAATGTACACATCTCTGTATCAACATGTACACACTAGGATCAATGTACACATCTCTGTATCAACATGTACACACCAGGATCAATGTACACATCTCTGTATCAATGTACATCTCTGTATCAACATGTACACACCAGGATCAATGTACACATCTCTGTATCAATCATGTACACACCAGGATCAATGTACACATCTCTGTATCAATATGTACACACCAGGATCAATGTACACATCTCTGTATCAACATGTACACACCAGGATCAATGTACACATCTCTGTATCAACATGTACACTCCAGGATCAATGTACACATCTCTGTATCAATGTACACATCTCTGTATCAATGTACACATCTCTGTATCAATGTACACATCTCTGTATCAACACATGTATCAACATGTACACAGGATCAATGTACACATCTCTGTATCAACATGTACACACCAGGATCAATGTACACATCTCTGTATCAATATGGACACACCAGGATCAATGTACACATCTCTGTATCAACATGTACACACTAGGATCAATGTACACATCTCTGTATCAATACACACTGTCACACATCTCAGTATCAATGTACACATCTCTGTATCAATGTACACATCTCTGTATCACATGTACACACTCTGATCAATGTACACATCTCTGTATCAACATGTACACACTAGGATCAATGTACACATCTCTGTATCAACATGTACACACCAGGATCAATGTACACATCTCTGTATCAACATGTACACATCTCTGTATCAATGTACATGTACAATGTACACTAGGATCAATGTACACATCTCTGTATCAATATGTACACACCAGGATCAATGTACACATCTCTGTATCAACATGTACACACCAGGATCAATGTACACATCTCTGTATCAACATGTACACATCAATGTACACATCTCTGTATCAACATGTACACACTGGGGATGAATGTACACATCTCTATATCAACATGTACACACTAAGATCAATTTACACATCTCTACATTAATGACATGTACTTGCCATGATCAATGTCTTCATCTCTAATTGATCCTGTACAAGATGCGATGATTGAGCACATTGATGGATCACTGTACACAGGGTATAGTTAGAGCGCACCCCCCCCCCACGCTACCGGCGGTCACCACAGATAGCCATTCTGTTAGCAATATTATTCAGCACGCCCATAACTCGACGGGCGCGCATTCCTCACTTTACCATCTGCCCTCCGCTTCTGTTGTTGCTGTTGTGGCTTTTGACGCTGTTGTTACCTGTGTTGCTGTGGTTGTTGTTGATGTTGTTAATGTTGTTGTTTGTCTTGCTGCTGTCTTAGTGCTGCATTTAAATGTGTTACTTCTACTCTAGTTGGAGTATGTGGGAGGAGAGGCTGGGGGATGTGTAACTGGGTGGTTGTCCTCTTGAGGGAAATATGGTGGGGGGGGGGGAGACAGGAGACGTCCACCTGTGATCGTCCTCTGAGATGTGTGCAGTGGGGGCAGGGTGGAGACGTGCACATATGGTCGTCCTCTGAGATGTATGGGGTGGAAGGAGAGGCAAGCTCTTGACGTGCAGCTGTGGCCGTCCCCTCAGGTGTCACTATCCATATGTGTGTGTGGATAGACTGGCCAGCGGCCAGTCTATCAATGACAGTACAGTACAAATAACAGTACAAATGAACAAAAATTAATCCACACGGACAACAAGCATGGCACAAAATCATAAAGTCAATAACAGGAATATCACATAAAGAGCAACACAAAAGGAACTACAAAACAAGCATAATGCATAAAACATGGCATGTACACAGGAAACACAAAGGTACACACAGGAGGCACAAAGGGTGCACACAGAAAAACATACACAGAACAAGCCAGTGACAAAGGAAGAGAAGAAAGAATAAGAAACCAACACATACACACAGAAACCGGGAACCAAGCACAGAACCACACCCAACGCACACATGAAAAAACACCGAAACACGCAGGAACCGCACACGCGGACATACACCGGAACACACACAGGAACCGGAAAACAGAAACCACAATCACACACCCACAAACAAAAACAACGGAACCTGCAAGAACCGAGAAGAACAGGAACAAAGTCACCAATAATGACGCCTATTTTTCTCTTTAAACTCACTCCTTGGATACCAAAGAACATACTTATTCCAAAGCGGCCACTCCTCTTCGGAAAGGCGTACGTCCCCACGGCGATGCGGGCGCTCCATAAACTTCAAAACGACGTCCTCAGGCGGCGGTTTTGATCAACCACCGTCATCAGGCGGCGACCGCACCAAAGCAGCGGACATCGTAGACCCCAGAGTTACTGGAGAGGCAGCAACTCCGCCGCCGATGGAACAGGAACCGAGGGCACAAACTCCGCCCGCGACACCAAGGAAGGAGGCTCCACAGGGGAAAACACGACAGAGGCCACATCCGGAACAGCATCCACAGGGTCGGGCACTAGCGCATAATCCCCACTACGGACATCTTTCCACAGGACCACCACAAGGCCTTGGCCCACATCATCAGCCGCACCAGCCACAACAGGAGGATGGACCTCCCTCCCCCCCCCCACGGCGGGGAACCCCCGGCTGGAGAAGAAACAGTGGGAAACATAGAGACACTGTCATCGGCGGCAGCAGCAGGCACGTGAACCTTCCCCACCACCATTATAGTCGACACCGCCGCCCCAGGTACCACTTCACCGACATTCGCAGACTCGTAACCGTCAAATTCACCTTCATCGGCCCAGGTAGAAGGAGGGAAGTGCCACAAACGCTTGGGAACCGGCCACATATCTTCAGAGCCGGTGGAGCTCTGGAGGTGGAGCCAGAAACACGGGAAGCGCAAGGGGTGCGCACTTTTGCACGGCACAAGACATCAGCAGCCTCAACGACAGGGGGAACCGGTCCTACTACAGCAGGAGACCCCCGCCTCCATATCACCTCCCAGCACAGCCGGGACAAACAACGGGGACGGAGAGACAGGAGCCGCAGGACAAGGCAGAGGGTCAGGCTCAGAAGACGAAGGGTCAGGCGCAGAAGACGGAGAGACAGGCACAGCAGATGGAGAAGCTGAAGACGGAGAGGGAGCGTCCGGGAGAACAACAGCCACCAGGAACGCCACCAGCAGCAGCACATCCAACAGAGGATGGCACAGCCACCGGAGCACAAGCGGTGTGGATAGTAGTCTGGACACCCCTCAGCTTCCCGGAGGAAAGCACATTGAGCCTCACACTTAAAATAGCATCAAACTGCCCAAAATATCGCTCGAGCAGCTCCTCGGGGAATTCAAGGGGCGTACCGTGCACGCTGACAAAAGTGAGGGACCAACTTCGGTCCTAGACAACCACCGTACCAGCAGCGTCTGGCAGGGGGCAAGGACCGCCCTACGTAACGTCGTAAAACATTCTGTAATCTTCCTCCTCTGTAAACTTCACAATTGCCTGATCCAAAGATACCAATACCACACTATAGATCGCAGCCACGGAGACACGCAGCAGATCACACATAACTAATTCCGTGGCAGGATAATCGGTCCGTCCAGTAAATTCCCACCGAACGAGCCCGCAAAACGGGGTAGGAGAGGCCCCCCTATCATGCAGGCCACATCAACAAATGACGAGTCTGATGGGGTGATCTGTTGGGAACCAAGAAATCCTCCCCCCCCCCCAGAGTGGGAAAGACCCGTAGGTAGCTAAATTAGTGGAAGTTGTGGAAAGCATTTTCTTTCAACCCCAATCATCTAAGCTCAAGCCTGGGCTCAGGCTGGGATCGGGGAGTAGAACTCCAAGAGCCCCATGAAGCAGGTATCAAGCAGGCATGCCAACAATAAGAGAAGAAGCGGAGGGAATATAACAACCAATGGTTTAAAAGACTGTCATAGAAGCAAAAACAAAAAGTAGGAATGAGTGGAAGAAATACAGAGGTCAGAGAATAATGAAAAATCTGGATAAATGAAACAGGGATAGGAATGAATACAAAAATACATAAATACGGCTGGAAAGAAACTATGAAAGTCTAAAGTCGAAAGAAACTATGAAACATCGCCACAGTCCACGTGGTGTAGTGGTAACACACTCTCCTGGCGTTGCTCGAGCGCTTTGGCCTGGGTTCCTATCCTAGCCAGGGAGGATTTACTGGGCGCCAATCCTTAACTGTAGCCTCTGTTCACCCAGCACAACATGGGTACCTGGTTGTTAAACGATTTGGCGGGAAAATTTAGATAAAAGACCTACCCGAATCGTTATGCGTGCAAAACACGCATAACATTTCGTAATGTTATCATATATTAAGATAACAGAAATGTCAGGCTCTACAAGAATGTAAGAACTTTTGTATATATAAATAAATAATGAAAATGCTATTGCCTCTAAAGATAAGACAACCAGAACTCCTACACAATCACATGAGAAGGAAAATGACAGTGAACGACCAGGTTACGAAAAAGGGGGAGGTGAATATTCAAGAAACAATAGAGGATTTACGAGGAACTCAGTGCCAGCTTGCAGACGATGAGTGACAATAACGTGACTGAAGATATGATGCCCAAATCACACGTCAGAAAATACAGAGACGACAACGTTTCGGTCAGTCGTGGACCATTATCAAGTCGTGGAACGCCAGCTTCCTTGAAGTGCTCACTACTGAACCTAAATAGCTGCCAAACATTTGGGCTGGACGGTAGAGCGACGGTCTGAATTCTTGCAGGTCGGCGTTCAATCCCCTCGACCGTCCAAACAGTTTTGCACCATTCCTTCCCTCCCTGCCCCATCCCAAGTCTTTATCCTGACCCCTTCCCAGTACTATATAATCGTAATGGCTTGGCGCTTTCTCCTGATAGTTTCCTCTCCAGTGCCAGAAGCGGAGGTTACCCAAGATGAGATATTTATCATATATTGAGACAACAGAAAGGATACAACTAGCATCACTAGACGAAACTGAAGCTATTGGATCAGACAACGTATCACTATGTATGTTAAAAGAAGGAGTACAGGCCAATTATCGAATCTCTCACGATCATCTTTAATGAGTCACTTATAAAGGAAGAACTATTTTAATTTTCTAAGAATTACCAAGCTGCTGGAAGAAGACAAATGTAATACAATCCCTCGCAATTATGGATTCGTGCCATAATTGCGAGGGATTGGGTACGATGAGAAACCGAAGGAACTAAACCTGACGACGCTAGAAAAGAGGAGGGGGGGGCGGACCAAATACTTAAGGGGGATTAATAGAGTGCAAAAAGAGGAAATGTTCACAATGAACACCAATAGTACATGAGGATATGGATGGAGTCATGGAGATGTTAGAAAGTTTCTTGTAACATAAGAGTAGTGAGAAAGTGGAATGAACGAAAGGAGTAGGATGTGGTTGCAAACTTCGTTAATAATTTTAAAAGTAGATATGATACGAAAATAGGTCGGAAATTACTGCATTAGGCAACAGGCGGTTTGAAAAGCAGGGTCCAAGAGCTAACGCCGGTCATCCAGGCACAAATTGTTCAGTACAAATGGATGAGTATTAATAGATGAGCGAGCAAGCAACACACACAGAGACATTAGAAAGAACTTTTTCAGTGTCAGAGTAGTTAGTAAATAGAATGCATTAGGCAGTGATGTGGTGGAGGCTGACTCCATACACAGTTTCCAAGTGTAGATATGATAGAGTCCAGTAGGCTTAGGAACCTGTACACCAGTTGTTTGACGGTTGAGAGGCGGGCCCAAAGAGCCAAAGCTCAACCCATGCAAGCACAATTAGGTGAGTTCACACGCACACAAACTTGTCACCAACAGCGTCATACTTATATGCTTGTGGTGTTCAAAATTTAATTACCCTGAGCTATTTCCACGAGGCACTTGGGGGATTTTAGGCTCAATTGCCTATTACGCGTATAGTATTGCGAGAGACTAATTATTTGCTATATAACTGAACGCTTGATACTGACCTCTTTTATACACGCATACTACTATTTTTAATTTAATATTCCTAACTGGACGTTTGCTGCTGATCTGTACACAATAAGTGTTATTTATAAACCTATTTCAGGCCGGGCTCTTTCACACTCGCTCTCGGATAAAGGTGGACGATTTTCCCACTCTCAACCTTGTGAGAGATGATGGTTAGGGCCACCTGTTCTAGTGGCCCCGCTAACAAGAGGGGGTGGGGGGGGGCTTAGATACCACTATTTATCGAGCGTGCTCATTATATCTTTCCTTTGATTATGCTAATTAGCCTCGTAGTGAGTGCCCCGGATGCTGCCGGCCCCTAATTAATGTATTTTTAATTGGTTATCTCGTTTGTTCTGATTATAAACAACGGTAACGTTTTGCGTGTTAAGATAAACTGTTGATATCCTTCATAAAATGTGGAATATGTCAGGAAAAAAGAAAGGGGGTTAATTTTTTTGTGGGGGGTTCGATTTTCTCACTCCGGTGGTAATATAATTATTATTTGGTTGTGGGGGGGCATGTGTGTGGGGGGGGGGGGGAGAGCATGGTTCTGTGTGGAGTGGGGTTGTGGGGGAGGGAGGAAGATATTTCGAAGAGGAATATAACAGCATAGACTGTGTTGTGACAGAACAGGATGCCACAATTGTTACCCCCCCCCCCCCCCCCGCAGTCCCATCATTCCCTCCCCTCGTCTCTCTCCTTTCACCTCCGTCTCTACCCCCTTCCATCCTCTCCTCTCCTCTCTCCCACCTCTCTTCCCTCCACCCCATACACTGAATTAGCCATTAGCGCGAAACTACTCCCACGAGAGGGGTCACAAGTTGAAGGGGTTAACAGAGATCGCGAAATGTTCTCTGCTCACGCGAAATTCAGGTTTTGCGGGTTGTTTTTTCATGAAATGTCAGTAATTTGTGAGAGGGGGCGTTCACGGAAAAGAGAGGGAGAGAAGGTCTACCTACCTTATGTCTACCTTCTGTCTTTAGCCAGGCTTCCTGCTTGGTGATCTGATCATCCAGGCTGTTGGACGCCTCAGTGTGACGTACGAGTCACGGACTGCTCAATCAGACATCCTTTGTGGAGGTATTTTATCAAGTTCTCTTTTGAACAATGTGAGAGGTTAGGTCGATTAATAACGCGAGGTCAACAGCTAATAATGCGAGGTCAACAGCTAATAACGCGACGACAACGGTTAATAACACGTTGTCAACAGTTAATAACACGAGGACAACAGCTAATAACGCGAAGTCAACAGCTAATAACGTGAGGTCAACAGATAATAACACAAGGTCAACAGATAATAACACGAGGTCAATAGATAATAACACGAGGACAACAGATAATAACACCAGGTCAACAGATAATAACACGCAGTCAACAATTAATAACGCGAGGACAACAGCTAATAACACGAGGAAACATTTAATAACGCAAGGACAACAGATTATAACACGAGGACAACACGTAATAACGCAAGGTCAACAGCAAAAAACGCGAGGTCAACACCTTATAACACGAGGACAACAGTTAATAACGCGAGGACAACAGCTAATAACGCAAGGACAACAGTTAATACGCGAAGACACCAGATAATAACACGAGGTCAACGAGGCTGGGGGTGTGAAGGCTATGGGTGTGAAGGCTGGTTCTGTGACCAGTCATGTGAAGAAACGAAAAAAATTGATCTGGGACGTATGAAGGATTACGCCGCTAAATTAAAAGTCTCTGAAAAAATTGAGCAGGTTGTTGCCGTTGAAGTTCACCGTGACCAAGGCCACGAAGAGTCACCGAAACGTAGCAAGGGCACAGTACAACCGGTGTGTGGGGATCATGGTAAAGAGAACAGTGATAAGACATGGTGGGATCTTGTGGAACATGAACAGAATCGAGACGAGAGTGCAAATATTAAACTTAGATTTCGAAAAGGGAAAGATGAACTAAGATAGTGTCAAGTAAGATAATGATGGATAACGAGTAATTTTGGTTTCTCTCAAAATTACATTCGGGAAGCCTATTAATTTTAATTGTGCTACTTTGAACATTAATGGGCTCAATTGTAGAAATAAACAGTTGCAGCTGATATCATTGTTTAAATATCATAATTTGGATGTACTGTTAGTGCAAGAACACAATGTACAAGATGTTAAGAAACTTGATGTGCTGCTTGATTACTTTGAAATATTAATAAATCCAACGACCTTGTTGAAAGGTGGTACGATGATATTGATTGGTAAGCGAGCCCACATCAAGGTTCTTAATACTGAAATGGATGATAATGGTAATGTTTTATATGCGAGGATTTCCTTTTTTGACACAATAATTCCTGTACTTAATGTGTATGCTCCCTCTGGCACCCGCAGGAAGAAAGAGAGGGAGGGCTTGTTCTCTAACGAGTTATTATATTTTTTTCAGAAATGATACACGTAAAGTTATTTTTGGTGGCGACTTTAATTGTGTCACTTCTATGAGAGATTGTAGCATTCAGTCGAACGCATGTGTATCTCCTGCTTTAATTACACTTTTGAAATGTATTGGTCTCAAGGATGCAAATAGCATTAACGGAGGTGTATATGAATACACATATGTTCGCCAGAATTATGGTTCTAGGCTTGACAGATTATATATGCACTCGTTACATGATAAAATTAGTTCTTGCAGTACTGTTCCGGTCAGCTTTTCAGATCACTGTATGGTTGTGGTGATGCTTGTTATTGACGATCAGGTTAAAGTGGGGACAGGGTCATGGAAGCTCAATTGCAGTCTGTTGCAGAGTAGAGATGTAATTGATAATTTTCAAGTATTGTGGGAACATCTGGTTGGGCAAAAACATAAGTTCAGATGTCTGTTGGAGTGGTGGGACATGTGTAAAGTTGCATGCAAAAGTTTCTTCGTGAAAGTATCCAAACGAAAGGCTGCTGAAAAAATATGGTCTGTTAAACTTATTCCAACACAGACTAAAACAACTTTATGTAAAGGTCAATATGGGATTAGACAAGTATGAAGAAATTACCATTTTAAAAGACAGAATTAACAAATTGAGGGATAAAATATCTGAAGGAGTCAATGTTCGCCTCCAGATTAATGATAGGATGTATGGTGAAAAACTCTCTCCTTATTTGTTAAGTAAAGTCAAGAATAACAAGGGTACAGCACTTGTGACTAGTATTAAAGCAGGTGATGGGACGGATATGACAAATACGGATGGGATTGTATGTTATGTTCAAGGTGAATTAGAGAAATTGTACAAAAAAGTGAACGTAGACCAAGGTATGCGGAAGTATTTCCTTGGAAAATGTACACGGGTTTTAACCCAGGATGACAACACGTCATTATTGGCAGATGTAGATAAGCAGGAAGTGTAGAGTGTTGTCAGGAGTTTAAAGAAAGGTAAATCACCTGGCTGTGATGGGTTCCCAGCGGAATTTTATTTCTATCTATGGGATGTCATTGGTAAAGACTTTGTACAAGTGGTGTAGTATAGCATACAGCATAGGAAGCTTAGCATGTCACAATCTCATGGGATTATTAAGATGATACCTAAAACGGGTGATTTGCATATTCTAACGAACTGGAGGCCACTTTCCCTACTAAACCAGGATTATAAAATAATATCGAAACTGCTGGCAAATAGACTTAGGATTGCAATGGATAAAATTATATCAAAGGAACAGTTTTGTGGTGTGCCTGGAAGATCTATAATCAATTGTAATAATGTCATTAGGGATGTTGTGTATTATGTGTCTGAGAATAATGTTCCTTCCTCCATGATAAACCTCGACTGGTCGAAAGCCTTTGACCGTGTTGATGTTCAGTTTGTATTAGAAATATTGGATAGGGTAGGAGTGGCACAAGAATTTATTGATTGGATCCGTATGCTTTATAAACAGTGTCGGAGCAGCGTCTGTATCAATGGAGTCTTAAGTAAACCTTTTTCAGTTGAACGATCTGTACGTCAGGGATGTCCCCTTTCAATGATTTTGTATGTTATATTTCAAGAGCCACTGTACTTGGCAATAAAAAGCAATGACTTTATTGTTCCACCTCGTCTTCCTAATGCTATGACACTTCCTGTTGTTGGTTATGCAGACGATACAACTATTTTTGTGTCGACAGAAGACTCGGTGGTGAATGTTCAGAATGAGTTAGACAACTTTGAAAGAGCGACAGGTGCTGTTATTAACAAGAACAAAACGTGTATGATGGGGCTTGGCAGTTGGTGTAATAAGGTTAACTGGACAGGTTCATGGTTCAAGGTAGTGGAGTCTATTAAAGCTCTTGGGATTTGCTGGTGTAAAACATATGACACAACATTGGTTACGAATTGGCAAGTACTATGTGGGAATATAATAGTTGCAACGAATATGTTGTCAAATAGGAAATTGACCCTGTTTCAGAAGGCTGTAATAATCAATTGCAAAATTTTGTCTAAAGTGTGGTATTTGTCTCACAGCTTTCCCATAGACAAGAAAAGTGCTATAGAGATTGACAAAACTATTTTTAGATATGTATGGTATGGTAGATACCAACCAATTAAACGAACTACCCTATGTAAAGGTAAGAAAAACGGTGGAATAGGAATACTGAATGTGTACCATAAGTCATTGGCAATCTTATGTGTTACTTTTAGAAAGGAGATAATGCAGAGGGATAGTGTAAATGCACTAGGACATTACTATTGTAAATTACGTGTTAGCTACTTGATACATATGCCAGAGTATACTGACCTTGCCTTTATTTCACCGCACTTTTATTCATGTGCAATTGATGTTCTCAGGCAGATTTGTAATATTGAAGGTTTTTTAATGATGAACAGTAAACAAGTGTATGATGTTATACTACCAAATATAGTTCCTAGAGTAGAGGAGGCATATCCACTCTTTAGCTGGCAAGTAATATGGGCAAACCTTCATGTTAAATTTATTGCCCCAAAACAACGTGAGCTATTGTATCGCTATATTCATGAGACCCTTCCTACTAATGATAGGTTGTTGATGTTGGGCATTAAGGACAACAATAGGTGTGACCAATGTACTGAAATTGAAAATAATATGCATATATTTTATTTCTGTAAGCAGAAAGTTGTTCTTGTAAACTGGATTAGAGACACTCTTAAAGCTTTATGTGGACCAAGTATTAGAGTGGAGTTAATGAGGTTTTTAATGTTTCATATTGACATAAAATGCAAGAAAATTAGGAATACAATAATTATGTTACTTTCTGATTACATTTTTTGTGTGTGGATAGGCAGGCAGGAAGGTTACTCAGTAGACAAAATATTGAAGTTCTTGCGAGGCAGGATCAGGTATAACATTTGGGGTTTAAGGCTCATGCTCGGTGATGATATGGAAAATTTGTTTACTGAGAATTATATAAAATATATATAAATGTAATAATTTCCCCTGTATTTTAATGTAAATTTATTCTCCAATTTTTGTAAATCGTTTATAGGTAAATAAGTATAACATTCAGGGTTTTTTTTTGTTCAAAGATCTTGTTCTGTACTACTGAAACACTTGTTCACTAAGAATTGTAATGTATAATTGCCTTGTAAAACTTATGTATATGTAATTTATATTGTATTTTCTTAAATAAAGATAAAAAAACCCCACACGGCCGTGTTAGTCCTCCCCACACGGCCGTGTTAGTCCTTTTTACGACCCTGGGTTCTTTAGTTGGAAACCAGAGGTCAAAATTGAACTAAATAAACTACCTTGTAGTAGTGGACACGCTTGTCGACGTGTAATTGTTCGTATCTTCCCTGCCAGACGTAGACAATTCTTGTTGTTCACAAAGCAGTCAGACTCTTGAGCTTGTTGTGGATTAAGTAACATTGTTATAAGATTAACTATCCTCAGAAGAGTAAAGTAACAATAAGAGGCATAGGGGAAAATGTTTTAATGTGTATAGCTGCACAATCAATTAGGCTCTTCCCGGCACCACAGAATGCGGGAGGCTGATCTGGGCTGAAGCGGCCTTCTCTGGTGGCTGGCTGTGGTGAAAAGAACCTCCTCTCCTTCCTCTTCATTTCCTTATTTCTGTGTCTTGTTCAAGATAAGTATATACTGAGTACATTATTCCATGTCTGGCATACTCATGTTCTATGTGTAGAGTAGTATATTTTGTGTGTAGTAGGTGTTTTTAGAGTTTTATTACTAGTTATTCTAAAGGGGGTTCCATTGGAACCCCCTACCCTAAGCTGACTCTAACTTCAAGTAATTCAATAGTAGAGCTTTACCCTAGCTTGTGTTCAGTGTAAAACCTTGTATCCTGCTTATGTGGACCAAGGCTTTTAACGTAAGGTAGTGTGGTAAAGTTATTATTATTATTGTTATTGGTGTGAATGTATATGGGGGGCTGTTAAGGGGTTAATAAGTACATGAATTATAAGAGTATCGTTCTTCCTGTGTAGGAGATCTTGATCATTCCCTAGACTGACCTTGTTGTGTAGCCAAGTAGTCAGCACTACTTCTAGTTTCCATGGGGGCCGGGCCTTACTGATCTCCCCAAATAGATACATCTTTATTCTGACTGACCTTACCCCTGAATAGCACTAGATTCCCCATAGTACAGCACCCCTTTTATTTAACAATCCTCCCCAAGGCCGTGGTAGTAACCCCCCAACGGCCGTGGTAGTACCCCCCCCACACGGCCGTGGTAGTACCCCCCCTCACACGGCCGTAGTGCCCCCCCCCAACACGGCCGTGTTAGTCCCCCCCACACGGCCGTGTTAGTCCTCCCCACACGGCCGTGTTAGTCCTCCCCACACGGCCGTGTTAGTCCCCCCAACGGCCGTGGTATTCCCCCCCACCACACGGCCGTGGTAGTCCCCCCCCCCCACACGGCCGTGTTAGTCCCCCCAACGGCCGTGGTAGTCCCCCCCCCACACAGCCGTGTTAGTCCTCCCCACACGGCCGTGTTAGTCCCCCCCACACGGCCGTGTTAGTCCTCCCCCACACGGCCGTGTTAGTCCTCCCCACACGGCCGTGTTAGTCCTCCCCACACGGCCGTGTTAGTCCCCCCCCACACGGCCGTGTTAGTCCTCCCCACACGGCCGTGTTAGTCCTCCCCACACGGCCGTGTTAGTCCCCCCAACGGCCGTGGTATTCCCCCCCCCACTCGGCCGTGGTAGTCCCCCCCCACACGGCCGTGTTAGTCCCCCCAACGGCCGTGGTATTCCCCCCCCCCCACACGGCCGTGGTAGTCCCCCCCCACACGGCCGTGTTAGTCCCCCCAACGGCCGTGGTAGTCCCCCCCCCTCACACGGCCGTGTTAGTCCCCCCCACACGGCCGTGTTAGTCCTCCCCACACGGCCGTGTTAGTCCCCCCCACACGGCCGTGTTAGTCCTCCCCACACGGCCGTGTTAGTCCCCCCACACGGCCGTGTTAGTCCTCCCCACACGGCCGTGTTAGTCCCCCCCACACGGCCGTGTTAGTCCTCCTCACACGGCCGTGTTAGTCCTCCCCACACGGCCGTGTTAGTCCTCCCCACACGGCCGTGTTAGTCCCCCCCACACGGCCGTGTTAGTCCCCCCCACACGGCCGTGTTAGTCCTCCCCACACGGCCGTGTTAGTCCTCCCCCCCCCCCCACACGGCCGTGTTAGTCCCCCCCCACACGGCCGTGTTAGTCCTCCCCACACGGCCGTGTTAGTCCTCCCCAAACGGCCGTGTTAGTCCTTCCAACGGTCGTGTTAGTCCTCCCCACACGGCCGTGTTAGTCCCCCCCACACGGCCGTGTTAGTCCTCCCCACACGGCCGTGTTAGTCCTCCCCACACGGCCGTGTTAGTCCTCCCCACACGGCCGTGTTAGTCCCCCCCCACACGGCCGTGTTAGTCCTCCCCACACGGCCGTGTTAGTCCTCCCCACACGGCCGTGTTAGTCCCCCCAACGGCCGTGGTATTCCCCCCCCCCACTCGGCCGTGGTAGTCCCCCCCCACACGGCCGTGTTAGTCCCCCCAACGGCCGTGGTATTCCCCCCCCCCACACGGCCGTGGTAGTCCCCCCCCACACGGCCGTGTTAGTCCCCCCAACGGCCGTGGTAGTCCCCCCCCCTCACACGGCCGTGTTAGTCCCCCCCACACGGCCGTGTTAGTCCTCCCCACACGGCCGTGTTAGTCCCCCCCACACGGCCGTGTTAGTCCTCCCCACACGGCCGTGTTAGTCCCCCCCACACGGCCGTGTTAGTCCTCCCCACACGGCCGTGTTAGTCCCCCCCACACGGCCGTGTTAGTCCTCCTCACACGGCCGTGTTAGTCCTCCCCACACGGCCGTGTTAGTCCTCCCCACACGGCCGTGTTAGTCCCCCCCACACGGCCGTGTTAGTCCCCCCCACACGGCCGTGTTAGTCCTCCCCACACGGCCGT